CGGCATTTTAAGTCCTAAATATCGACGATTTTAGTCAAAAACACAGAGTAAACTTAGAGAATTTTGTTAAGGATTTATTCTGCTTCCATTTAACAAAATTGAAATGTAAACAGTCATGTAAAACGGGGTAGAACGGCATTACAAAAAAGGATACTAATTTTTAGATATGGCGGCCATTTAGAGCAGAGATCTATTCTCGAAGTATGAAATAGATGGACCTCTGTGTGCAGAATGATGCATCCGTCGTCCAAGGAGTGGCATTGGGAATCGCGCCTAAGCGAAATACTGAAACCACTGTGGTTAATTATATTATCAATGTGATTAAAATACAGATCTATATTTCGTTTCGTTTTTTTTATACTTTCGATGGCCTACACTACATGAAGATCTGACAAGTTATAGCGATAGGTCACGTCAGGGGTCAAATGACGTCAGATATTTGATTAACCAATCAGCATTGATGTTACTAGTGGATTACCCACAGTTCCGGGCAGACCATTTGATTGGCTGACCCCTCATTTCAAGCAGAACACGAGTTAAATAACAAGTCGTCCAGATCCAAGTGTAGTAAAGACAAGTAAAACGAAATTTTGAACTATAAAAACGAAACGAAATAGGATCTGTGTTTTAACCAGATTGTTATAATATAGACTATTTTCAAAAATATACATAATTTGTGGATATTCATCCATTGTCTAATATTTCAAAAGTTTTAATTAGAAAATTAAGACGACGGCTTATGAAGGGAACTGTACCTGTTAATCAATTAAATGACGTTCTTAGCTATTATCACACGAGCACATGGTTGAGTGTATAAATAATGGCTGCCGGTTACCCTGATGACGTCACATCCGTCGCCTAAATCTGCTGATTGAAGTCGATATAATTAGTATTTCTGGTTGTGTATTGTATTGTTATGCGTCTACATTTTCATGTTGACGTAGATGTATTATGTAGTCGCCTACATAGTTAAACAGATAATGCCAAAAAAAAGAAGGGGAAAATCCCAAATAATGTATGAATATGATTGCTTTGATTGGATATCATAATATGCGCCAGTTTTTCAAAGCTCAAATGAAACAGGAATACCTTAATGACCTGGCGGACACGATCGATCTTGACAAAATAGCTGATCGGTGGACAAACTTGACTAAGCGCGAACGCTTGATGAAACTACGAGGACATAGTCATATCTTTTCTAATTTATGTACACTCACCACAACAATATATCGAAGATAATAGGTCCATGTAAATAATGTAATTATCACTTTCAGAAGTTGTCAAAGATTCGCAGTACTTTGTAAGTTCTTGTAAAATTCTTAACAAATAACATGAATTCCCATGCGTAGTACTCCATTTTACTCGTGTTATAAGTGTTTTTCTGACCATCCGAATTTTGCAAAATCTTTCCGCAAAGTCCAGGAAATGTCATTTCAGGCACTCTAGATTCAAAAATTTCTTCGGGTAACCATGTCCTCGGATCCCACTAGAACGCTCATGGCTGCGTCACTCGTATTACAAATAAAATCGATATCTACGCCCCTGGGCCCTTATTCACAAAAACTTAAACTAAGTTACAACCGAAATTTTAAGAAATACTGCAACTTCATTGGATATATGAAAATTGATTTTACTAGTCAGCCAATCGAATTGCAGTATTTCTTAAAATTTCGATTGTATCTTAGTTTAAGTTTTCGTGAATAAGGGCACTGGTTAAAATGGCCCATCCCTTTTACGCATAGTGGCAAAGAATGTAATACATATACCAAGGTTGTGGGCCCTCTAGATGTAGATGAAACTTAAAATATGTGTTAAAGGACAATATTGGTGTCAGTCATTATCACATATGTGATAGAGCTAGTTAAACACGTTCCAAATATAATTTTAACACAGAGAAAACGAAAAAAAAAGAAGTCCGTGCATTACCGTGTTTTCATTTAGTACAGAGTGAATAAAAACAAGGGAATGTACGGACTATTTCTATTTTTCTCGTGTTTTCTTATCTAATGACATTCAATTACTTTTTTGAATTGTCGGATATCCTCTCGCAGTCTCGCATAACAACTTTTGGTCTTCGAAAGAATTATTAGTGAGTAGAAATTCGGTCGTGTATCTGTTATCACTCGTCACGTATATAGAAGGATAACTTGTCTTTTCCTTTTGCTTTAAGGAACATTGGAACATGTTTAACCAGTTCTATCACATAATATGTGATAATGACTGACACCAAGATTGTCCTTTGAGGATCAAAAGATCTTGGATGATTTCGATTTTAGTGCGCATCAGACCGTAACATCTTGGGATATGACCCCGCCTTTTAAGCAAATTGTGAAATATGTGGAAACTCTAGAGCTCACAATTTTTTTTTCGATTTATATGCATATCCTGATTATATGCATATCCTATGGATGAAAAAATGTCGGATAAGTTTTTAACAATTTTTTTTTTTCATTATTTTTAAATTTTTAATTTGAAGCATTGGGGTCGTGAGATGACGAATCCTATCGATAAACCAAATTTCCGCGACCTTTCGTTCTAGGGTTATGCTCTCTCGTCCAAAAATCTTTTTCAAATTTGGCGTTTTCGTTCATGAGAGTACGAACAGTGTCAATATTCAAGGTTAGTGCTAAATGATAAGGCCAGCTCAATTTTTCGTCATAGGTCATGAGATGTAAACAGGGCTAGCGCAAATCCCAACACCAACCCTAGCCCCAATCGGTTACCCTAACCTACAATCTCGCCAGCAATCACGTTCCCTAACCTTATTTACATCCCAGCGACCTTGACAAAAATGGAGCTGGCCTTAACAAATAGATTTAGCCCGACTTTTTCCGAAATCCCTCTGAACGATGGTACCTGTTATGACAATATCTGTTTAATATCAGATCTACTCAAATCGATTATTTAAAATTTTATTTAGAAAACAAAATCAGACGATATTTTATATATGATTGTAAAGAGAAACTTGATACAGTTTATATATATGGGTATAAAGCGATATCATGAAATGAAATGGGGTTTAACGTCCTACTGTTCTGCTCCTATACTGGGCTAATGAAGACGGGCATACGCCATGCAGTGTGCTATGAGGGAAATTTTGCCCGGGCAGCGGCACTACGGCCTACTCTTATATCGAATTCCAACTGCCAAGGGATCTTTTACGTGCACGCCAATGTGTACACGGGACCTCGGTTTTTCGTCCAAACCGAACGACAAGACAGCTGTCCTTGTCAGGCCCTCCATCCTGCATCACTGACAAGGGGAGATACGGTTGTAAGGCGATATTCTATAATATGAATGTCTGGACTGAAATGAAATTTAATGTCCGGCTTTCTTTGCCCACTGGGCTAATGAAGACAGGTATACATCTAGATGTCGGACTACGTTTTGCAATATCACGGTGACCATGAATACATTAGACTTACATAAAATACGTCATATTTTTTTCTGTTAACTATTTGCACGACTTCCTATTAAAGTAAACTTCTTTTGACAAAGGAAACGTGTACAACAAAACATTTGCGATATATGTAGATCATATTTGGTTAAAAAATAAAACTTAGAAAAACGTGCTTTGTTGGGGTTTTTTTGTCTCCGAGAGAAGTGGGATTTAAAGGAGCTAAGTCGCTAATGTTTGGGACCTAGAAATTGACACAAATGGTTCGCAACGCATATAATAATGAAATATGAATGTATATAAACTGATTTAAATTCAATCGTTTCTGTTTTTACTGTCTAATCAGTTATGTTCGGCGAAAAACGCCAAAAGTCTCAATCGAATGGTAATCTCTAGCGTCTGGTTATTCCAGTCCACACCGATAATATTTATTGCGCATGCTCTCCACGATATCACCTATGGTGGAAGTGGACGTAAAACTTTAGGAAGGAACGAACGAACAGATAAGAATATGGCGCCACCGTTTGACATGACTTGTGAAATATGTCTAGCCTTGTTCTTTGAGGCACTTATAATTGCCACAAATGTCACTGAAATGCATGGTAAAATGTTATTTTGTCTTAAATATTGGATATCAGAAACCCATTACTTGTTGGTAAGATCAAAACATCAATGTTGATTTAAATTGACAAATAATTCGTGTTTTCAATGTTGAAGACTTTGGATGATATTGAGTTAGAGACTTAGCTACTTTAAAGTCCACTGAACACAGACTATAGGTTGTTCTAGGACTAACCTATTGCAAATCGCGGGAAAAGTTCATCAGGATTTTCCGATGTGGTTTCCCCTTGCCAGTGGTACAGGATGAAGGGCCTGACAAACACGGCTGTCTTGTCGTTCGGATGAGACAATAAACCGAGGTCCCGTGAATACATTGGCGTGCATGTAAAAGATTCCATGGCACTTGGAATTCGATACGAGATTAGGCCATAGTGCTGCTGCCCGGGCAAAATTTCCCTCATAGCACACTGTATGGTGTATTCCCGTCTTCATTAGCCCAGTCGGAGCAGAACAGTAGGACATTAAACCCCATTTCAATTCATTTTTCTGGTAAATCTTTATTTCAATAATTCTCGGGGAGGTCGAATAGTTTAACGCATGCGCATTAGATCACAAGGTCCATATCGCGGGGGAGGGGGTAGATGGTCAAATGGTTTATGTGTGTGCCTTGGATCATAAGGTCTGTTATTAAGTCAAGTGGTGTGGTTTCGACTCCCCGCTTGTACATGAAAAATGTGGGGTCGCCTGATCCAGATTGTAGAAAACTATAGCTATAAGATATCCTGGATAGAGTCTGGGTGATCCAAACTATATATGATTATGACTATAATTATCGTTGGATAAAGTCCGGGTGATCAAGACTAAAAGGAAATAAAATCTATCATATACTATACCCTGGTTAGAGCCTGGGTGATCCAGGCTATATATAACTGTAGCTATAATATACCCTGGATAGTGACTGGGTGATCCAAGCTATGTATAACTATAGCTATAACATATCAAGGATAGAGACTGGGTGATCCAGATTATATATAACCATAGCTAGATTTATACATATTTATTTTAATCAATAAATAATAGTAAAAAATCGTGAAACAAATAAAGTAAATATGGCCGCTGGTCCTTCTAGGGCGCATTATAAGCTTACATTGGCCACCTTGCTGTAAATGTCACTGAGGTCCTTGCATCAAAAGTGAAAAGGGGGCAAAAGTGAAACAAATCAAGTGAATATGGCCGCTGGTCCTTCTATGGCGGATTAAACTTGCAATGGGCCCCTTGCTGTAAATATTACTGGGGCCCTTGCATCAACAGTGAAAAGGGGGCTAATTCCGGCCATTGTCCTTTACTCAGACAAATGCAATTTGTATGTCAGCATTTTACTTAGATCGACTTACTTGGCACAAACATATAGGCTACAACATAATAAATAAACTTATGTGCTATATTAGGTTATATAAAAATAAAATTTTTAACTAATTTGGTGACCCCTTTAATATTAAGCATCCTCAATGCATCACAGTCAGGACAATCACCCCCACCCCGACCCTTAATGCGGCCCTGATTCTGCCATCACCAGCATGGATTCTTCCAGATCCTACCAATTTCTACAAAATATCTTCAAGTCTGGGCATAAATTAGAGGTAATGTAGATATCACTGTCCAATCACAAGCATGGATTCTTCAAGATCCTACCAGTTTCTACGCAATATCTTCAAGTCTGGGCATAAATTAGAGGTAATTTTAATCCAACAACTGGACCAACAGAACTGAGCCATGAAATCAGATAATTCTTCCTGAAATAGAAGTTATAGAATAAATAGTTTAATATATTGACACATGAATATAGACATGGTTGTTATTTATATAACAAGCACCTGTTGTTGTTTATGTAACAAGCACCTGTTGTTATTTATATAACAAGCACCTGTTGTTGTTTATGTAACAAGCACCTGTTGTTGTTTATATAACAAGCACCTGTTGTTGGTTATGTAAGTAACAAGCACCTGTTATGCAATTCAACATATCAAAATGTTGTTGGTTTTTTTTGTCCCATCCAAATGAGTAGGCACTGTCCTTACCAGGTCCTTTGCCCTGAATAACCAAACCAGAAAATCCTGCATCTTCAATAGAAGGCTTGATTTCGCTTTAACTACATACATCCTATCAAGGCCTTCACGTAATACCCTGCATATTTCGGCACTAATTTTGATTGGGTACAAGCCCAGCTTGTAAGCCTATCAGATTCCTCAGTCGTAGCGAATACTAAGTCTCGCACTTTCAAGCTAAAATGTTCAAGGTTCGTTCAATGTCAAGGTTTCCGTGGAGGTTGCGATGTCACAATCTCTGACAGGACGCTACTGTTCACGTGTCTGTATATAACTTAGCTATAAGTTCGAGAATTGTGAAGTAAACTAGCAAGGTCCAGATGTTGTAAAACTCGCAGTCGTTGCTTCAGGAACATGAAAATCCTGAGGAACATTTGCAGCCAACACCGGGATCTAAGCCAGGAACGAATTTTAACTAACGAGCACCTTACTCCTTGAGCCACAGTGGATCCCAGAAATCAATGGACATTAATGTAAACTTTAAATGGCCATGGTGGATTTACTGTCACCTTTCTCCATAAATAAATAAGTTACCTCTCATCTCCAATAGTTTGAATGTTTTTCATCATCATGGCAGTAAGACAGGGATGGAGTTGATAAAATGGTCGACCTAGTATAGGATGTTCCTGTAAGATGGAGGCAGATCAACATATATAAACACAATATCTAATGCACTGCTGGTTCAAGAGTGATTATTGTAAACAGAGAGAGAGAGAGAGAGAGAGAGAGAGAGAGGTCATTTTGGGACTAATATATGGTTCAATATATGACTGAACAACAGACCTTATGATTCAACACGCACATGCAAACCATTCACACAACCACCCCCCCTTATTATCAACAAGGAATTCTGGAACAGTAATGTTTTGAGCTGGGATTTGAAGGTTTCCATGGATTTTGAGAAGATTCTGGCCCTGAAGATACAATTGTTCTCCTGATGAACAATGATTTGTACAGGCCCTGGACTGTAGTGGACTCTTACAGTTGGCCCTGAATCCATTCACTTGATTTGATATTTGTTTGTTGGAATAGGGAGCCATGGTGGTTATGTGAGTAAGACCCTGGCTCGCTAGCCTGGAGGTTGCGTGTTTTGATCCCTGCATGGCTGAGAAAGTTCATCAGGATTTTCCCGCATGGTTTCCCCTTGTCAGTGGCGCAGGATGGAGGGCCTGACAAGGATAGCTGTCTAGTCGTTTGCATGGGACAAACAACCGAGGTCCTATGTAGCCTATACATTGGCATGCACATAAAAAATCCCTTGGCAGCTGGAATTCGATATAAGAGTAGGCCATAGGGGCGCTGCCCGGGCAAAATTTCCCTTATAGCACACTGTATGGCATGTGCCTGTCTTCATTAGCCCAGTAGGACATAGGCGGTTAAACCCCATTTCATTTCATTTTCATTTCATTTCTGTAGGAATAAGAAGAAAAGTAGGCTTTGTACAAACCTGGGGCCTGTTTCACGAAATTTTAACTAAGATAAAATCCAAATTTTAGTAATTTGATTGGATAATATTAGATTGATTTTAGTGCTTAGTCAATCAAAATTGAAGTATCTACGAAAATTTGGATTTTATCTTTAGTTAAGATTTCGAGAAACAGGACCCTGGCTGGTTTCTTTCCCAGACATGATATCACATTGTAGAAACTAGAAACCTGCCCAGTTTCACAGAAATTATATCACATTGTAGAAACTAGAAACCTGTCCAGTTTCACAGAAATTATACCACATTGTACAAACTAGAAACCTGTCCAGTTTCACAGAAATTATACCACATTGTACAAACCTACTCAGTTACACAGAAAGTATAGTATACCTACATGTATTATAAGATCCATGATTGAACAAACCTGCCCAGGAGTTTCTCTCATAGACAAATAAAAGGGAGATAACTTTATTTTATATTTTATTTTGATGGATATGAACCAACAAAGACACCAATAAATTCCTACACATGGTTACCAAGGACAACCTTCTATTAAGTCTCTCCACTTCCCTCCCCCCACCCCCCTCATTTTTATGGCGATTTTTGTTGACTTCTGTTGTAGCATCAGAGAAAAGGGTTTGAGGTACATCTTCTCCCAGGTTTTGGAGAATATTATACATAAAAGTGTTGAGAGGTTGGTAATGCCATAGAACTAGAATACTAACGGGAACGCCCACCGTGTGACGTCACTACCTTATGTGACGGCGGGCTTCTGACGCTGATATCGGGCACAGCGTACTTCCGGTTTCTGCTCGCACTAACAAAATGCCTGGCGCGAATTGTGTTTTGTTCGGATGTTCCGCCTGCAATAAAAGAAATCGGGTTGATCATTCTATCGCTTACCCAAAAACAACAGTGTGGAGAGAGAATCATTACGTATCATCATATACAGTCTACCAGATCAGACCCGATAAATGACAAGACCTTGACAACATGTTCAAGACACGTTGAGCCGGATTATTTCGTTGAAAAAGTAAGTAAAAACTCAAAAGAAATTAATTATGTAGATTCTAGTTGGCAGTCCACCCTGACAACCTACAATGAAACAATGAATGTCTGTATTTTCATGTTTGCCCGTTAGATTTTACCCCTTCTCTCATCAAAGTTGTATGCATATAGGTTTGTTTACATTAGTGCCGTAGCTAGGCCTAGTCTATTTTCAATTTGTTATGAAATTGACGATTACTACACCCGATGAGTGTGTGACAGCATGACGATTCTCTCTCAACAATCTTCTTTTACTTTAATTTTATGAATTACTAATTATTATTTTTTTTTAAAGGTCAAAGTTTTAACTGAGCAGCTCCATAAAAATTAAAATTGTATATTTATTTATGACTGACCTTGACCTGTCAAATCCTTTTATTTTTAAATTCCGAAATAATCTTGTTCCCGGTATGAATAATCAACAAGCATGGAAAAAAAATAATTATATCTGAACCTTTTGTTTTGTATGTAGGAACCTTTTTATTTTGATTTTATGAATATTTCAGATGTTTACAAAAATTCTGGGTCCACTTATCGAAGATTAAAAGAAGGGTTAGGGAGACTATCAACCTTAATTCTTCTACAGAAAAGCGCAACAACAAAGAAATTGAATCCAAGGAAGTCACCGGTAACTTAAATTTCTGTTAACTTAATTATAATTATGAACATTTGATGTTTCCTTATTAAAGATCAGTATATGAACATTTAATTCATCAATATTAAACAGACATTATGCAAGAGCTAAATCTGTCAACTGCAGGTCTTTCTTTAGGCCTGGAATGTTATCTAAATTATTAATTACACATTAATTAACTTATCCAGACCATAATCAACGCTCGATGGCATCGCTAGCCTGTGATATATACTGGATTAGAGCCCAGTCTGCTACTTCTGATTAAATCAAAAAATGGATAATCGAGACCATGTTTTTTTTTTATCGTACCGACCTTAGTAATGATGATCGAGGCTAGGCCCAAAATTCAACCACTAAATACTCGGTTCAGGGTGGATCAATTTGACTGAAATTTTCAGCAAATTCCCTTTACATTATCTAGTTTTTAACTATTATGATGAGAACTGCTAGCTCTTTCTGTAATCTCCCATAATTTTATTTATAAATACTTGTATGAATATCCGATTCTTCTTTATATTTACTTTTGTAAGTTTTTCGATTTTATTCAGAAACCGAGAAAATTATGAATACATGTATGAGAATCCAATTCTTCTTGTTTTAATTGAGTTTTATAAATTTGTCTATTTTATTCAGAGTCCAAGGAAAACCGAGGAAACTCAATGTTTACATATGAACGAAGTAACCTTTCAGATGTTGCAGAAATCATTTTTATGTCAAATGCCTGCTTTGTGGCTATGTCAGTCTTCAAGTGATTATATCTATCTGATTAAAACTGAAGATAAAAGTGTAACATACCATTTAACCATTGACAAGGACTTGAATTGTGAAGTACAATATAATAATTTTTGTTTCCTGTTCAAATTAAAGTTACATCTATAGATTTACTTATAAGAACTGTTGAGAATATGAAGATATGTAGGGGCATAACATCAAAACATTTACAGTCTTATTCTCAATGTCAGCCTACAACTGTAAGATATATCAGACAAGTTGATCTTTTCATGAACACAAATAAGTCAACATATAAATTACGAAATCTGTGTACTTGCTTCTGTATGTAATAGTTTTCTTGAGGACACTCAAATCGAAATTTGTTTAAGTTGTCGACAGATTAACAGAGATTTACAGAGAAAGTAAATAGCAATAATAATAGTTTATTTCACATATATGGCTACATAGCACATTGCATATTCAGATTTTGATTGAAAATATATAATTCAAAGAATCAATATTTACATACTTGTAAATGTAATTTACAATTCAAAAATAGCTTAGCAATAATATATAGTTGCCATATAAACGAGCAAAAAGTGGTAGAATATAATCATGTGGTACGAATTTGATTAAAATGTAGATTTCACTCCATTTTGATTTATTTCTTCCAACTGACTCCACTCCACATAGATTTGAGGTCAAATGAGAAGTTATAGAGTTAAACTGTGATCATTGATGTCAGGTATTTTATTTACAGCACTTTGCTGCAAGCATTTCACACAATGAAAGTAACAAAAACACAGATTATACAGATAATTTCATACAACAAAATAGAAAGTGTATAATTAAACTAAACATCACCTGGCTCTATTGGAATTAATATCGATATTGGAAGTATAAAAATATAAATGTGATTGAATCTAGGATTAAATCTAGAACTTAATCAGCAGTGTTCTACAAATTTTTTATTTCTTGTTATTACTGTATTGTAGATAATAAGTAATGAAAAGAAAACAAGGCCCCAAGTTCACAAAGCATTCTCAGTCTTAAGTTAAGGTTTTACTCAAAATTGTTTGTCTTATTTTAACTTAAATATAACACTTTACTAACTATTGTTGTTTTAATGTAAATATATCAGTAAGAAACTATGTGCAAAGTTTTGTGTTTCTGGATCAAAGATATTTCTCAAAAACAGTGATTGAAAGTTGAGCAAATTATTAAGTCTGGGAATGCTTTGTGAACTTGGGGCCAGGTTGATAATTGTAAACAAAATATATCGAGACACAATGAAATAGCACCTCTGAGATGACGTGGCATAACTTTGCACCTTCCACAGTTGCACAAAACCTAGCTTTTTAAAAGCTGCATTATATACCCCACGTGTGTACCAGAAAAATCAACATACTGATTCTGTTGGGTTTAATTTTTTTGATTGAGAATTGTTCGGGGTGCGTTTACGCAATCTTCAAAACATTCTCACATGTTATCATCGTAATATGATGTTGTTACATCCTTAATTGCAAGATTAAAGCAAATCTTTAAAACAAAATTGAACTGAAAAGTACTAAGTAGGGTGTTAAACCTGGATTCATTTCAAACAAGATTTACATTCATCCATTTATAAAAGTGATGTATTATTTTTATTGCATCTCAGTATAAAATATTAACAATGATAACAAAATTTATACAAATTTTATACAGGTGCACAACTTGTAATGTGTGAGCTTTATAAATGTATTAAATTATTCTTAAATATACATTATGTAAGATTTTGATAAAGAGCTAGCCATTCTTGCTATAATAGTTCGAAGATAAATAATGTAAAATGAATAATTTGAAAATTTCATTCAAATTACTCTATTGCGAGCGAAGATATTAGCCTTTGAAGGCCTTTGAAGGTTTGACAAGACGTGTGCAATAATTTCAACCATCGTACTGGTTGTTCGAAGTAGTCTCACTCCTCCATTTTTAGCTTAAATCAAAATATGGCTGAACTGTTCTAATCTATTTAATATTGGAGAAATCCGATGTCATCGAGAGTTGATTAGGGCCTGGATAAGTTAATTAATGTCTAATTAATAATTTAGAAAACATTTCAGGCCTAAAGAAAACCTGCAATAGGCAGATTTAGCTCTTGCATAATGTATGTTTAATCATTATTATCATAAGCTTATGGATTTTTTTGTTCATTTCTATTTGCCTTTAGTGTTTATCAATGGTCATTATCTGTTAAATTCACAAGTTTTATTTAACAAGCATCACTGTCATGTGAATAAAATATCTTTGAACAGAGCCTTGGATCATTCCAACCACATATTGTTGTTCTTGTTTTTTAAATTAGTCATCTTGAATAGTAATTTAACCATTTGTTCCAAATGATGATAAACTTATACTAGAAAATGCACAGGCAGATGACAAGTTTTGATGTATAATATTCCTTGTTGGGGTTAAACTCGATTGAGGTTCGGCAAACCCTTGAGATCATGTGAACATCAGATCATTTTTCATATAACCACTACTTGAACTTTCCCATTAAATTTAACTGGATTAGTTTGAATCTTAAAAAGAAAATAAATAACAATGAAAACAACGTAAATAAAAACCAAACAAAATCAATAGCTATGAATTAAAATTACCAGTGTAAATCTGTACACAACCAAAGACAGGGTTGGAGGTTATAATTTCCCTCACAATTTTATCTAATTACGAGCTTGATACCAAATTAATACAGTTCTTTAAAGGCTCAATACCACTCTTGTTGTAACTGAATAATACGTCCCAATCTTTATTCTGGTCAACAAATTAACTATTTTAGAATATTTCAATTAATTGATGATACAAATTTCATCTTAACACACCTTATTTAAAAAATTCAACATAATGGTTTAAAACGTCTAACATAAACCTTTTCAAATGAAACTTCGATTTAAAAATATTTTCGAACCCTCTGGACAAGTAAAATAGGATGTAATGGATAATTTACACAACAGGTGGGACACTTAAACATCTAGTACTTAGATAGAGATATTATTTATTTTCTGGAGCTTTCAAGCCAGCAAGAGTGTTATTGTCCCTTTAAAGTAAATATTATACAAAATAAAAGAAACTGTTCCAAAGCAATTTGGGATCACGTGGCTAAGTGGGTAAGACGCTGGCTCGCTAGCCTGGAGGTCGGGTGATCGATCCCTACATTTGCCGAGAAAGTTCATCCAGATTTTCCGGCGTGGTTCCCCCTTGTCAGTGATGCAGTACGGAGGGCCTGACAAGGACAGCTGTCTAATCCTTCGGATGATACGAAAACCCGAGGTCACCTGTATACATTGGAATGCACGTAAAAGATCCCTTGGCAGTTGGAATTCCCATAAATCACACCTTATGGCGTATACCCGTCTTCATTAGCCCAGCATAGGAGCAGAACAGTAGGACGTTAAACCCCATTTCATTTCATTTCCAAAGCAATTTGATCGTTTGAGAAGAAAAAAAATATATAGACATGGTCGAGACTATAATGAGTTTCAAAACTTGCCCATTTGCTACGAACACTATGTGATTATATGTATGTTGTTGTATATGTAGAAAACTTACGGATGCTACTGGAACGACAGGTTGAGATGTCTCAAACAAATCTTTAGCAAAGAAAAGCTGTAGTAAAGAATACACATTTTTTTTTTTATAAACAATATTTTTATTCAGGATGTCTGAATGGGATTGGGGAACAGGCTTAGCCTATGTAAAACCCCTTGTTATAAACAAGAAAAGGGCACTGGGAAACCAGCCAAAACTGGCACGGACATGCCAAAGGCTAACAACAATATGCACAAAACAATAAATAAAAATAATAACAAGTCCTAAATAAAATGTGAATGTCATCATAATTTATTAATAATAATTTTATAATATGTAGTAGAAAATGATACACAAACGTGTGTTCGGATAATTTAATGTCCGAAAATTAATGGTTTATACTCCCGATGGTATGTTATATAACTAATTTAAAAAAAACTCATTAAAATTATGAATAACTTACATCTATTACACCGTCAAGTTCTTGAAATTCCAGGACGTCGTACTCTTCTGCTATGTTGACATACGGCCGGAAGTTACTTGTGCCTTATTGACTTCGCGCATGCGATGTACAACATAATTATGTCATCACCGTTGTACGTCACCGAGTGGGCGTTCCCGTTAGTATTCTAGTTCTATGGTTATGCTCAGAGATAGAGATATGGAGAGAGAGAGAGATAGAGAGATCCTACCTGTTGTGTTAATATAGACCATTTATCTGTGTGTAATTGTTGTTGATAAATATCAGGAACTAGACTCCATATATCTTCTAATGATACAAGTTGCCCACCTACAAATAAATATCATTTGGATTTAACTTTGGAGATCTTCTTCTAAGTCAAAGGTGCCCCACTGCAAATTAAAATTTCACATATCTTCCAATGATATTATCATTTAGATTTAAGTTGATGGTGTGAAAAGTGAGAGAGAGAAATGGGGTTTAAAGTCCACTCACGAAACAAACTAGGTCATTTCGGGAATAACACATGGTCGATTTTTTATTTCAATAATTTGCTTGCACGTAGGGTCTTTAGCAGTGGAAGGAAACTGGAGAACCTGAAGAAAACCCACAAGGTTGGATAGACGACCCTACAACTGGAGAATCGAAACCACGCCAGTTGACTCAATGACAGACTTTATGATACAATGCGCACATGTTAACCATTCGGCCATCCAACCTCCCACGACTGATCTAGAGTATTAAGATTGACAGTTCAAAATAAGAGTACGCTCTAGTGTCACCTGAGCAAACTTTCCACTGTATGGGGTACGCCCAGTTATTTTATTTAATTTAAAAGCTCAATAACACTCTTGTTGTAACTGAATAATATGTCCCAATCTTTATTCTAGTCAACAAATTGTACTATTTTACAATATTCCAATTAATTGATGATACAAATTTCATCTTAACACATCTAATTTAAAAAATTGGAAAATTTCAACTAAATGATTTGAAAAACCTAACGTAAACCTTTTCAAATGTGACTTGGATTTAAAAATATTTTCGAACCCTCTGGACAAGTAAAATAGGATGTAATGGATAATTTACACAACAGGTAGGACACTTAAACATCTAATACTTAGAATAAGGCTATTATTTATATTCTGGAGCTGTCAAGCCAGCAAGAGTGTTATTGTCCCTTTAATATCTTACTTGGTTGATAAACGTTAAAATATAAAACAGGAACACTATAGCTAGAACTGTAGACGATATGATAATCATAGGTTAATATCTTCACTGGATTCACATACTGTAGACAGCTTGGATCATTGGTCTGAAATACAAAAACATGTATGGATCAAGATGGTCAAGTCAGATAAAGTTAGGCCATAACAAATGAAGAGCCCCAGGGAAGAACAATCTTAGTCATTATTTCAACGAACCTCAGTTAATGGCGCCATCTGGTAGCAAATTGTATAAGCTTTCTGTGGAACAATCAATTTCAGGCAAAAACGATCACGATCAGTCACATCGAACCAAGGCCCTTCTGAAATGGCCTCCCGGACAAATACAAGTCCATCGTACCCTTATTTGACCTTAAGTTGGCTGAAAAGTGGAAGTCAGTTGTTGTACTGGTAATTATGATTCATATTAAACATCATTTTGAAGTTGTGATTAAACCCACTCGTTGTTCTGTTCGCGTCCAGCATTCTCGTCCAAAAGTCTGGTTTGCCTTTTATGCGAAAAGACAAAAATGTGACTTAGATCATTCTTCCCCTTGACTCTTCAAATAATATTCTGGTTCACAAAAACACTCCTGTGTCACTTTAAAAAGGGGCATATGACCTGTTTTTATTTCAAAAACAAAAACAATCACGGGTTCTTTTATCTACACACCAATGTGTACACGGGACCTTGGTTTTTATTCATATCCGAACAACTAGACGTTGTTCTTTACTAGACGAGGTTAAGTGAGTAAGACGCTGGCTTGCTAGCCTGGAGGTCGGGGTTCAATCCCAGTGTTGGCTGTGAAAGTTTATTGGGATTTTCCGTCATGGTTTCCCCTTGTCATTTGTACAAGACAGAGGGCCTGATAGGGACAGCTGTCCAGTCATTTGGATGGGACAAAAATCTGAGGTCCTGTGTACACATCGGAGTGCATGCAAAAAATTCCTTGGCAGTTGGAATTTGATATAAGAGTTGGCCATTTCCCTCATAGCACACTATATGGCATAAACCCAATTTTCATTAGCCCAGTCGGAGCAGAAGAGAAGGATATTAAACCCAATTTCATTTCTATACTAGAGTGTCCATCCTGCACAACTGACAAAGGGAAACAGCAATGAAACATCCTGAGAAACTTCCTCTGCCAACACAGGACCTCGTTTTTTGTCCTATTCAAACAACTAGAGGATGTTTCTTGGGCTATAGTTAAACAACTCATTTGAATATCAGAAATACAGGAACTAAAGTTACCTCTTCAACTGATACAGATTCTAAACTGTTTATATCTGATCTGTCTGTATCAGTTAAATTCTGTTGATCCTCGGGTGAGATATTCACTGTCTGTCTTTTCACCAGGTAAATACTCTCATCATGCTGAAAATAACAAAAATACCTGCATTACCATAACCCTTTAGCAAACCAGAGATAAGTGGAATTTAATCAAGGTCCACTGAACTTAAACCAGGTTATTTCGGGACTAACATATGTTTCAATTTTATTTCATTAATTGTCAGTGCAAAGGGGTCTTTAGTATACAGGTCACAATTTATGGAATACAATTACTGCTTATTACTGAGCGACGTTTCAACTAGGCTTCTCTAGTCATTATCAAGCAGTGGAAGTAGTGGAAGGAAGTCAGATAAAATTTAACAGGATAGACCCAAACCTTGTCACGTACAATCTGGGAAATGATACCATGCCACTCAATAACAGACCTTATGATCTAAAGCTCATCCATCCCCACTTACCCTATAGTACCAGGTGCATGTAGTTTGTGGTGCTGGGGGTAGGTGTAGTTGCTACTGGGAGTTGTAGTTTGTGGTGCTAGTGGGAGTTATAGTTTGTGGTGCTAAAGGGAGTTGTAGTCTGTGGTGCTAGTGCTTTAGTATCAGGTGCATGTCGTTTGTGGTGCTAAAGAGAGCTGTAGTTGGTGGTGCTAGAGGGAGCTGTAGTTTGTGGTGCTGGGGGGAGGTGTAGTTTATGGTGCTTGGGGGGGGGAACTGTAGTTTGTGGTGCTGAGGGGGGGGGGGGAGAGGTGTAGTTGCTAGTGGGAGGTGTAGTTTGTAGGGCTAGTGGGAGTTGTAGTCTGTGGTGCTAGTGCTTTAGTACCAGGTGCATGTAGTTTGTGGTGCTGGGGGGAGCTGTAGTTTGTGGTTCTGAGGGAGCTGTAGTTTTTGGTGCTAGAGGGAGTTGTAGTTTGTGGTGCTAGTGGGAGTTGTAGTCTGTGGTGCTAGAGGGAGCTGTAGTTAGAGGTGTTAGAGGGAACTGTAGTTTGTGGTGTTAGAGGAAGCTGTAGTTAGAGGTGCTAAAGGGAGCTGTAGTTTGTGGTGGTTCAAGGGATAAACGCATGGGTGATATCGAAAACATCTGAAAATTGATGTAAGGATCTTTGTAGACAGGAAAATGAATAAACTGCATGTAAAAAACACTACACGTTAAAGTGACTGATCATCATGTAAAAGACCGTACATGTTAAAGCGAGAGAGAGAGAGAAATGGGGTTTAACGTCCACTAGACACAAACTAGGTAATTTCGGGACTAACACATGGTTCAATTTTTTTTCAATAATTCGCTTGCGCGTAGGGGTCTTTAGCAGTGGGAGGAAACCGGAGGACCCGGAGAAAACCCACGAGGTTGGACAGGCGACCCTACTCCTTGTCAGCTACAACCGGGGAATCGAAACCCTGCCAGTTGACTCAATGTGACAGACTGTATGATACAGCGCGCGCTAATCATTTGGCCATCCAACCCCCCTACATGTTAAAGCAATTGATCATCATGTAAAAGACCATCATTCACACGACCATCATTCACATGACCATCATTCACACACATTAAAACAAACAATAACCCCAAAAAATAATAAAACAAACTATCTCCATTGAGTTTTTGATGGTCTAAAAGTAAGTGTAAGAGAACTGCACCCAATCGGCATGATATAAAACACAATATACAAAGACATAGCCCATAATAAACAGCACAGTATATATCAAATCGAGTAAAGGAATCCAGGGGCTATTCTTGGTGTCTTTCTTTAAACCTGTACCTTGATCCCATTCAAATATTCCCTCTATTTGACTTACAGGGGAGGAGATAGCCGGGGAATGGTCATACTTCTCGCAGTGTCTCGTTTAATTAGAGCTAATCCCATTTAACACTGCTGTAATGGAGCAAATTTCTGTTCCAAATTATGACTGATCAATAGTCCGATTAACAACCAATAGCTAACTGCATAACAATATCATTACGCTTTAAACAGAGCTCCAAATTGGACCAAATATGTTCACATAACGTTACATCATGACTAATGATTTTATTATGTCCAATAACCAGTGCATACAGAGCAAAGTATTGCAGAAAAACTAATTACGTGACAAACAAGGCTATCAACACGAATACAATGTAAACAATACTGTTTGGAGACGAACAACACTTTCACCATTTTTAATACTTTAAATCACTGTCCAAAGTTTTAGGGAAGACCCCGGATTAAAGGAAGGGCTGTCATGTTGCTGTACTTGGGATAGATTTGACTGAACAGGAAGAATAGACACACTTCCTCAAAAGCTCAAGTATCAGAAGTCAATCCAGCAATGGCCAGAGAGGGATTTCTCGGGTCATTGCTTCAGGAATATGGGGAATGGTCCAAGACATGCGCTTTACAACTGGATGCAAACCTGTGTACTTCCTATCAACACATGGACTCACTGTGGCTAAGTGGTTAAGACGCTGGCTCGCTAGCCTGGAGGTTGCGTATTCGATTCCTGCATTGGCCGAGAAAGTTCATCAGGATTTTTCGACGTGGTTTCCCTTTGTCAGTGGTGCAGGATGGAGGGCCTGACAAGGACCACTGTCTAGTTGTTTGAAAGAGATGAAAGAGAGAGAAATGGGGTTTAATGTCCACTCGACACAAATTAGGTCACTTTGGGACTAACATATGGTTTAATTTTATTTCAATAGTTCGCTTGCGCGTAGGGGTCTTTAGCAGTGGGAGGAAACCGGAGGACCCGGACAAAACCTATGATGTTGGACGGATGGGATGAAAAACGAGTCCCGTGTATACATTGGCATGCACATAAAAGATCCCTTGGCAGTTGTTGGAATTCGATATAAGAGTAGACCATAGTGCCTCATAGCACACTGTATGACGTAACGGTATAATAATAATAATAATAATAAAAATTTTATTTAATGAGGCAACGTATTTAGTTTGCAAAAAAAAAACTAATCTTCCATAGGTCCCTCCTAAACTACAAAGACATATATACATGTAATATCAGGATAAATTTAAAATCATTAGAAATGCAATAGCATTTTAAAGTGGGAAGTTTGATAAGTCACTCCCAAACTACAAAACATATACATTATACAAGTAGAATATAGGAAGAACACTATAATTACACACAAAATAAAATAGAATGCAGTTGCAAGTTAAAAATAATAAGTATGTCATCAGTTGAATATTATGGTTCCTACAGTGTGCAAAATAGATGAGTTTTCAGTTTAATCTTAAAATTTTCAACATTTTTACACATCTTTATATCAAAAGGCAGATTGTTCCATAAAAGACATGCAGAATAATGAAAAGTACATTTCATGGATTCCGTTTTGCATTTTTGAAGAAAAAGAGATTTACTGGTCTGTGAACGGAGCAAGATATCCGTTTTGGAAACAAGAGATTTTTCAATAAAATGGAAATTTAGATAAAGTGGAGTATTAAATGTAATAATTTTGAATGATAAGACAATTTTATTGTAAAGAATCCTCTGTGTAAGGGTAAGCCAACCGAGTTTAGTAAATAAAGAGGTGGACGGAGTTTCAATCGGTGCATCAAGAATAGCTCTTGCTGCCCTCTTTGCTCGTCTTCATTTCCAAATCAACACTAGTTTTAGATCACAAGGACTGTTATTGAGTCAACTGGCGTGGTTTCGATGTCACACTTGTACGTGACAAGGAGTATGGTCGCCTGTCCAACCTTGTGGGTTTTTTCTCGGTCCTCCAGTCTCTACACGTGACAAGGAGTATGGTCGCCTGTCCAACCTTGTGGGTTTTTTCTCGGTCCTCCAGTTTCTACCTACTGCTAAAGGCCCCTACGCGCAAGCGAATAATAAAATTAAATTGAACCATTTTTATCCCGAAATGAGTTTTTGTGTCGAGTTGATGTTAAACCCCCCCTCACTCTCTCTCTCTCTCTCTCTGTCTCTTTGACCATTACAAAAAAATAAGGATACATTGTTTTTTTTAACTTTATATTTATTTGTTTGTAAACATATATAAATAAGTTATAATAATATCTACTCTCTTTTATTAAAGAGCTAATTCTGCCTATTGCAGATCTTTTTTCTGACTTGAAATGTTACCTAAATGATTATTTAGACATTTATTCACTTAAAAAGACCACAATCAACTCTCTAGATCATTGTATGGCTGAGATATTAGACATATATTCATGTGACGAGCCTATCGGCGGTGAAGTGTCAAAAGAGTGTATCTAAGAATTTCTAAAGATTAAGAAATAGAACCTTTTGCATTTCAAAATTTCCACAAATCAAGATACAACATTTGGACACATGATACCCAGAACAGTTTTAATTGGCGTAGAGATACACAGCTTAGACAGAAATGTGCATATTAATTGGGAGATTTTAAAAATGCAAAAAAGTGTATTTGACTAATTTCCTGAGATACACCCTTTTGACACTTCATCGACGCTATAATTAATACTCTAGAAAATTGCATGGCTGAGATATTAAGTGGATTAGAAAATGTCTACCATTTCATTGTTAAAGTAGCTAAGTCTCTAACTAATTATCATCCAAAATCTTCAACATTGAAAACACGATTTATTTGTCAAATTAAATCAACATTTATGTTGTGATCTTACCAGAAAAAGATGGGCTTTTGATATCCAATATTTAAGACAAAATAAACATTTTACCATTGGTACACGAATCGTGTACCATAATGCGCTTCAGCCCCAGTTGTATCAAGAGACTCGAGGGACGAGGCTAGACACATTGCACCAAATCAAACGCGTATGTAGACTGGAATAACCAGACGCTAGAAATTTGCACTCGCTTGAGACTGCTGTCTTACTTCACCGAACATAACTGATTTGAAATTGGAGTAAAAACGGAAACCATTGACTGTAAATCAGTTTATATACATTCATATTACAGTTTTATATGCGTTGCGACCCACTTTTGTCAATTTCTAGGTCCCAAATATTAGCGATTTAGCTCCTTTAAATGTTAAAATGGAAATGAATTTAACAAATGTAATATTTGTACAAAGATAATATGAATAACAACCATTAAGAGTGAATGTAATGAAAAGTTGATAAACAATGACGAAATGCGACACTTCACAGTCACACATGATACATTTATAAAACTAGGATCAATAATAGCCAATCTTATTAAAATACAGATCTATATTTCGTTTTGTTTTTTTATACTTTCGATAACCTACACTACATGAATAGCTGACCAGTTGTAGTGGGAGGTCGCGTTAGGGGTCACACGAGCGGCTTTTGACCCTATGATGTCAGACATTTGATTAACCAATCAGCATTGACGTTTCTAGTGGGTTACTCACAGTTCAGTGCACTATGCGCCAAAAACTCACTGTAACAGACCGTTTCATTGGCTAATCCCTCACCACATCATTCAGAACACGAGTTATATAACAACTCTTACAGATCCTAGTGTAATAAAGACATGTAAATGAAATTTTGAACTATAAAAAACGAAACAAAATAGAATCTGTGTTTTAATCAGATTAAATAATAGGCCATTCAAAAATAATATTCTTGTTCTCAGTCAGAGTCATTTCAAGGCATATCATGTCGTTTATAGGGATGTGTATGATTATCTAGTGTCATGCATGATTGGCAGAAACCAGTGTTGGAATTTAAAAATGTTCTTGTCAGACATTTTTACAGAAAATAAAGGGACATAACTCTTATCATTATTTCAAGACATTACATTTATCTCATGATTATCTAGTGTAATATTGTCAATAATATTCATCAGGTTTTATACACTACAAATTTTTACTCCTGTAACTGACGGAAAATATTTACATGAGGTAATTAACGAGATTGTTTTTAGTTTTTGAAATAAAACAGATCATGCAACTTAAAGTGATGCAGGAGTATCTTAGAATCAGAATATGTTTTTGTATGGCCATAAAATTATGTTTGGTAATACACCATTCTTCCTACAGCATAATATATAATTCAATTTAAAAACATGCCATGTGAATGTTGACTGGTAATTTTTAATCGCTAACATCGTGTCACATAACATGTATGGATTAATAGATAATATCTGAAAGAATAAATGGAATGAAATGGGGTTTAATGTCCTACTGTTCTGTGCCGACTGGGCTAATGAAGACGGGCATACAGTGTGCTATGTGGGACATTTTGCCTGGACAGGTCAGAAAAAAGAATCCATCCATTAACATTCATGTACATGCTGTCTATACATGATGAAATAAAACAAAATCCTTAATAACAATTTGGAGGAGGAGAAGAAGGATGGTGAAAATCATCCATGGCATAACTGCCTATACAACCATAATGAAAGATACAAAATCCAAAATAAATATTTTGGTTGGGTGGGGATCAAATATCCATCAAATGCTGGAAGGATCCAACAGATATTAATAATACCTGCTTGCAATGATCTACAAGCATTAACATAGACATCCCAATATGCCAGTACATAGAATTATTTCCTTCTTTTGGTTATTTTTTTTAAGATAACTCATTCTATAAATATAAATCTGGGCCAGAATGACAAAATTATTAATGAACTGAATGCATGTAATTTGAATGAAGAGGTAACAGCACTGGTAGTAAATTTAATTTAACTATTGCTGTTATAACAATGTTTAACCAGTAGTATTTACATAATAATGTTTTGATTAATTCACTAATTTTGTCCCAAGTTTTGAAAATCACACTTCCAATGCTTTCATTATTGAGGCTCGTTCTTTCAAGGCTTTAAATGCTGCGTCTTTTTCTTTTTTGGTCGGAGTTTTCTTCTTTTGTTTTGCCGTTTGGATTTTTCTATAAGCTTCCATGACCTCTGCATCTGCTGCTGCTAGTTTTTTCTTCATCTCTTGTCGGGCCATTTGTTCTTTGGCTTTACAATACAGCTGTCGAGTTATGATTATATTCCGTTGACACAATAAACGAAGTTCCGACTGCTTCTTTCGGATCTCCGCCAATATTTCATCATCAGGATTGTCGTCTTCCTTATCCTCGAAATCGAGAATCCCCTGCTCTTCCAGCTCTCTCTTAATCCTCCTCTCAAGATGCACTGGGTTACCAATGTTCAACTGTTTAGCTAAAGTTCTTGGTGAAATGGCCGGAGCTTCGTCTGCGGATTCCTTTCCACCAGTTATATCATTCATGGAATCGTCTATAGGCGTCATGATGTTTTCTTCAATTAAAGCAGAAACGAGACGCTGAGTCAGTTGACCAAACGGCGAATCTTCCATATTGTTTGGTTCAAGTTTTTTCAGAAGTGTTGTTGAATCATGATGGATATGATTGTTGTTATGACTTCCTGAGTTTCGTTTCTTGTCGACTTTAACGCCGTCCGTCTGCTCTTCCATTAAATCTTCCTCCGCCCACTTTTCTGTATAATGTTTACCAAGTGGGGTCACTTTAAAATAATCGCTGTCTTCTTCGTGAGATTTAAGGGTGTCTTCGAGAAGTTTAAGATCGTCGTTGGTGATATCTGCACAATACGGTTCAACCGATTGCCAGAATCTGTTAACCGCATCATTCTTCGGGAGTTTTGGCAAGGTTTCTCGTGGCGAATCGGAGAATTCATATTCTTGAAGTTTCGACACAGCAGATTTATTTTTAGGTTTTGCCGGTGGAGTGGCAACCACGTGTGAAGCTTTACCATTCACATCTTTCAACTTTTTACTCGGTTTGTCATCCGTCGCACCTTTCCCACGTTTCCCGGAGTTCTGCTGGTGATCCTTGCCGACAGGAGTACCCTTCTTATTGCCAGTCGAGTCTTTTTTATCTTGCCAGTTGACGAGTATCTGTATCTCACTTTCCAACAGCTTCAGCCTTTTTCCTGCTGATGCTAATAAAGTTTCTAGATCCGTCTGAACTGTATCAAGTTCATCCAGCGTCAGACACTCATCTTCAGTTCTATCCAAAATACGACTGTACTTCAAACAATCTTTTGTGTGATCAACTGGTTGCAGGTCTGGGAAAGCCAGTGGACATTCTTTGTCGATATGCGACGTCTTTCCTTTTCCCTTCATCTTTCCTCAGCGGTAAAATACACCGTTATCTTTCAAAATTATTTTTACTGTTCTTTGTCGGCCATTTTTCTTGTTTTGATCAAGCAAATTACGAAGGGGGAATAACTCGCACAATCTTATTTCCCGTTCGAGAAAGGGCTATATTTAGTAACGATAGATATACGCTAAATAACCCCGATATTAAGGTAATCGTGATATATTTTCACGTGCAGTGTTGGATTGGGTGTGATTGAACTATAATTGTTTTATATAAGCATTTCACTTACAGGAGATTTCCGTATTTCCCAGGAATCGTTATTAGCTTGTGATATCTGAATAATTTTTTTCACAAGTTCGTTGAATTCCGTCTCAGAAATCGAACCTGCCGCCATTTCTTGCTAACACGCGACGCCCACGTTGTTTCTAAACGGTACACAAGAGCCAGGCTGTGTCTAAATATTGAATTAGGGGACAAGTTTCAGAACCCGTGGATTTTAATATTTATCCGATGGTCATAAATTCTTCTAAGATGTAAAGTCACTAATATTTAATAAAGATGTTTATTTATTTAATGGTTGTTCGTTTTATTAACTGCGTCAAAAAAAGCGCGTGGTCATAAGATGTATATTTTTCAAACGCTTAATACCCTCCACAGGGTAGACTAGTCTGACCTAAAACGGTTTCTAGATACCCCAAAATCTATTGAGCAAAATCTCGAAGAAAATAGGTCAGCGCTGTGTTGCTTTATTATTTAAATCATTTCATTGACTATAGACGAGCAGTGAGCGGTATTATTGACTTGGAAACAAAGCACACGGGCTGTTTTTCACTTGATAAACATGTACTCTATTCACACTGCATCATTGACGAAGTTCATAGGCACACAATATACAACAAATAATTATGAGGAGCGATGTTGTTTTTTTTTGTTTTTTTTCTTAAAAAGATTCTGTTTGCTTTTTGCGATAAAATATTTAACATATAAACAGTGGTATAAATTACGATTGTTTCCTTGTTCTTGGTGTTTCGTTTTTTTTTTTTTCTTCATCAATAAAAGTTAGTAAAACATTTTTCCATAACCGCATTACCCAACTTCCTCAAGGTATACATATTTCAATCATCTTAGTTTTAGTTTTCTAAAAAAACGCATTTAAATTAATATTGCACAAATTAAATGGACCTTTGTGTTTTCATGAATTAGATCAATCAAAATCCGAAAGATTTCTACAAATATTTCCCTCTGAAAAATTCCACCACAATCCATCTAACGGTCTATTTACATGTTTATTCATCAAAAATTAATCAGAGCTAAATAATTGTTAAAATGACTTCATAAATATTTCGTTGTTATTTTTTTTTATTTTTTCAATTCAAGATTAATCGATATATTCTTGTTATTCGTCCATACATTCTGATGCTGGCTATGGTCTTCCGCCTCTTGAACAAAGAAGTAAAAGAATGGGCCTCCAAAAACTTACACCATTTGATCAAACCAGTAAATTGGCGTTAAGCCAAAACGGCTTTGTCGCAGTACCGCATGATGTTAAAACTGACGGTTTTGAGGCACCCCACGCTTACTATAATTAACTATCCAATAGAGACTTGCCATTTTGACAGGTCTACTTGATGTTGGCAAGGCAACGGGGTCAGTGTCGTCCCTGATGTCTTGACAGGTGCCTGCGAGTGTATCGCTCAGCATGTATGCCAAAGGAAAAGGTTCTAGTGTACCTTCCGATGCTCAAGCCAGGGAAAAGTGAGTAAAATGCAAGAAATAAAATGGATTTAGCTGATGGAATATAAACTATGGAATATACGGGATATATATGTGTTCGAAAAATATCATCCTTTGTTTCGCAAGCGGCAAATTTCCACCTGCGCGTGAGGGATGCCCCATTCAATCCGTAACAGAATGGCTGTTCCGGTTACTATTTCCCCCCTTCGACGACTGATGTTTTTGTTTTGATTATGGCGTAAATTAATTAGAATTAATAAGTGGCCCACCTTTGACATCTACGGCACCATCTTGTGGAATGTACTAAACCAGATTAATCATAATAAACCGATTTATCGAAATAATATTCAACATTAGTCTGGGTTTCACGCACGTTGTATTTACCAATATGGCCGCCGCCATGAAGTTGTTCTTCCGATTGTAAATTTTTACATTTTTTATATTTTTCAGATTAGCTTTATACGTTTATGAATATTTATTACATGTAGGGGCACAAAAATCAGCACAGACATTTTTGTCAGAAGTAAGTTTTTCCACTGGAGTCATTTTTCTTCCTAAAAACCATAAATACCATGTTAATCACGATAACAACATTGAGATTTTGGTTTGCAACAATGTTATAGATTGTTTCCATTGATAAATGAATAACATTAAATATTACACACTATATCTTATGGATTAAGGATTTTGAAATGGAAAGAATATCATCACCTAAATTATTTATTGAATTGTTTTTCTTGATAAACATGAACATTGAAATTTAATTTTGCAACAATGTGAATGTTTATAGTTTGTGTAATTGATAAATCAAAATGCATTAAATTACATATTACACACACTTATGATATTTGCAATTGATCATCACCAAGATAAATTACTAAATTATTTTTATTTTCCTTTTCAGATACGGTGGGAAAAAAATATCACATTAGGAGAACCTCCGGGGTTTTTACATTCATGGTGGTGGTAAGTCGCTAATTTGATATTTTTTTTTGATTGAGATTAAATACCAAGTGTTATTGTTGTAGCTTTTAAACCTACAGCACAGTTACTTCCCTTTATGTTCTTAAAATGTTCGACCGCATGTTTCAGAATCTAATAACAAAACATACCCTAACTTCTCTTTATTCTGTTTCATGGTCAGGTATGCTGTATTGAAGTAAGGGGGGTTGGATGGCTGAATGGTTAGCATGCGCGCTGTATCATACGGTCTGTCATTGAGTCAACTGGCGGGGTTTCGATTCCCTGGTTGTACGTGACAGGGAGCAGGGTCGTCTGTCCAACCTCGTGGGCTTTCTCCGGGTCCTCCGGTTTCCTCCTACTGCTAAAGACTCGCAAGCAAATGATTGAAATAAAATTGAACCATGTTTTAGTCCCGAAATGACCTAGTTTGTGTTGACGGGTGTTAAACCCCATTTCTTTCTCTCTCTCTCTCTGTATTGAATACATGCTAAGCACATAATGTCAACAAGCCATAATTTTGGAAATGCCAATAAACTGTTCTATTTGTTAGCTTAGGTCATCTCCCCCACCCCCCTCATAGAAGGTTTTTAAATTCCCTAACTAGCCATAATTTTGGAAATGCCAATTAACTGTTCTATTTCTTAGCTTAGGTCATCTCATTCTCCCTCCCCCCAAAAGAAGGATTTTAAATTCCCTCCAGGTTGAAAACCATATTATTCCATTGAATAATGTTAGAACACAAAATGATAGTTCGGATTGATTTAAGGATCTATCCCCCATTCTGAACATTGTACCTTACACGGGTTAGCTATGAGAACATCACTTAAAAATTTTGATATATTTGATATATTGAATACAGTGACATTGGTTAATACAGTTTCAGAAAGTGACACTACCACTGTATCTTATTTCAATGTTCATCTGCCAGGGGATCCTTAACAGACTTCACTCACATGTTTATAACATCACTGAAACATTTTGATAAATCTAATATATTTGTTAAAGTTTTAGCTATGATTAGAACCAGTTAATTTCAATATGTAAATCTAGTTTGTTCACAAGTGTCGATCCCTGCATTAACCGAGAAAGTTCACCCATATTTTCCGGCATGGTTTCCCCTGAGGGCCTGACAAGGACAGCTGTCTAGTTGTTCGGATCGGACGAAAAACCGAGGTCCCGTGTACACATTGGCGTGCACGTAAAAGATCCCTTGGCAGTTGGAATTCTATATAAGAGTAGGCCGTAGCGCGGCCGCCCGGACAAAATTTCCCTCATAGCACACTCAATGGCCGTCTTCATTAGCCCAGGTTAGGAGCAGAACAGTGGCCGAATGGTTAGCACGTGCGCACTGTATCATACGGTCGGTCATTGAGTCAACTGGCGGGGTCTCGATTCCCTGGTTGTACGTGACAAGGAGTAGGGTCACCTGTCCAACCTCGTGGGTTTTCTCTGGGTCCTCCCACTGCTAAAGACCCTACGCGCAAGCAAACTATTGAAATAACATTGAACCATATGTTAGTCCCAAAATGACCTGGTTTGTGTCGAGTGGAGGTTAAGCCCCATTTCTCTCTCTCTCTATTAATTGGCTCCTCTGGCAAGTTTCCCTGGAAACACTTGTCTGCGATATATCACCCAAGGGGTAAGTGGAGGTTAAGCCTTCAGGACCGAATGGACCAACAAGTTTTACATTTGCAGACTTTATATTTTTAAAGCCTGGAAATAAAGCACTGGTCAAAGAAATGAACTGACTGCACTAATGAAGACAGGCATACACCATACATTGTGCCACAAGAAGCATTTTGCCCGGGCAGCGGGGCTATGGCTTACTCTTATAGCGAATTCCAACAATGTTTGACACAATCCTGGTTGACGTCAGACATTTTGCCTGGAACCTTACAGAGATGTTTTTTATGCATGTTTTATTGATATTTTTGATAAATGTCGGACATTTCGGACAGGGTTCAATTTAGTCTGAAACTTTTGAATAGCAATTTTGACTGATTAACTTTTTGGCTAATCAATTTAAAATTTGAATAGCATTTCCTGAGAAATGAAGAGCACTTCCGATCTGATTTATGTTACGAAAATTTAACAAATGTAGAAAATTTGAAAAATGAGATTTGCCCTCTCGCTAGGGTATACGTGTTGTCCATCAGTTTCTTTACACGACTTTGCTTTACACGACTTTGCTTCATCCCCTCAGTCTTCTGCTCTAGGGAATGACCGAAAGAATGGGGGCTTTTTAATAATATCAATGAAAGAAATGCCAATATTATTTTCGTAGTTCGAACATGGGGTTCTGAAATTAGACGCTTGCGGATATTATCTGCTTTGAGTGCCGATCCTGTAGTTCCGACTCACTATGAATTTTTTGAAAGCTCTGCTGAAGTTCCGCATCCATTTAATTTACTTTCAGTTTCATGCATTAGTTTGCACGAAACTTCAGACAATGCCGACAGGTTCTAACACATGTCAGACACTAACATTCTTTTTCATACTTATGTATACATGAATGGATCGTGGCTAATTTTATTGTCTTTTATTAGACGACAATATTTTCAATTTACCGTAAGGGGTACCATGAGCGCGATCACAAACTAAGGTAGTCATCAATACCCAGACGAAATGACGAATAATAAGTAGTATTGCACTGGAAGATGCTGATTATATTACTTGCGTCTCAGTTTACCTAGCAACCAACGGTGCCACGCAGCATGTTTTGATTTACCAGTCATATTCCTATTGAAGGGGTTGTACAATTTCTGTCTGGGAGATGAAAAAAAAAAAAGTTCCTGTAATCACTGTAAAGAAAGCAATGAAATTAAATCGGAATTGCTCGGAATCGAAACTACGTTGTAACCCGGAGTTCACTACTTAAGACAAACGGTTTTTAGCAATGGAATTGTAATAAAATCTAAGATTGTATGAATTGCACTTCAGACTTTTGGAATGGAATTTTGGCTAATTAATAAAATATTTCTATCTAATTTCTACAGAATCGGTTCGCTTTTTGCGATGCGATACCTCTTAAATTGAACCCTGACCTTGTGTAATAGTTTATTTTATGAGCTAAAGAACAAAATTGTAGTTTTGGAACTTGAATATATTTCTTTATTTTTCAGTGTTTTTTGGGATTTATATTGCGCAGCACCAGAACGTAGAGACACATGTGATCACTCGAGTGAGGCGAAGGCGTTTCATGATTATGTAAGTAGATAATTAGTAGATTTTATATCCAAATCATTCAACCTCCTGGGCCTCCGTTTTCCTCCCACTGTTAAAATATCCTTCTGCTCAAGAGAATTAATATAGTAAAATTGAACCATATGTTAGTCCCAAAATGACTTAGTTTGTGTCATGTTAATGATAAACCACATTTCTCTCTCTGTCTCTCAATTATATGCAAATCAGATCTATTTCTATTAATACAGCCCTCGACTTACCTTTTGAAAAGGATATCACATTTTCTAATATGTACATGGTTGAAATAATCGCTTTGAAACTGGTCCCATTGATTTCTGAACCAGAGGGGTTGAATGGCCGAATGGTTAGAGCTGTATCATAAGGTCTGTCATAAGGTTTAGATTCCTCGATTGTATGTGACGAGTAGGGATGCCTGTCCAACCTCATGGGTTTTCTATGGGTCCTTTGGTTTCCTCCCACTGCTAAAGACCAAAACACGCAAGTGAATTATTGAAATAAACTTGAATCATTTGTTAGTCCCGAAATGACCTGAAATGACCTAGTTTGTGCTGAGTGAACCTTAAACCCCATATCTCTCTCTCTGTCTCTCTCCATTACTGAACCTAGGCCTTTGACTAATGACAAAGAAATTATATAGCAGGTTGATAACCAGCCGTAAAAAAAATTTGTCACATCTTGCCTGACCATTTCTAATAAACATCAATATTGAATACACATCACCTGGACAACAGTGGTGTATATCATTCACAAGTTCAAAAACATAACACCTTATTTAATGACATAACACCTACTTAATATGCCTATTATTACCTGACTACCTAATGGAATTGTTTAACACATTAGGTCTGTCATTGAGTCAATGAACTTGTATGTAACTGTCAAACCAGCCTTGTGGGTTTTCTCTGGTTACCTCACACTGCGAAAGACTCGGACGAAAAATGTGTGTACTGTAGTTTCAGGTGGGACAAAATAAATTGAGGTCCTGTGTACAAATTTGTGTGTGCATGAAAGATCCATTGGCGATTTTGATTACTAAGAAGAGTAGAAGGGAATCGTTGCTGCCTGGGTAAAATGCTCCTCACAAATGCCTCCACCATATATTTATCATATAACAACAAACTAAAGAATACACAAAACACATGAACAGTCGTTAATGACATGTAGACAAAAATTAGTACTTCTCGAGCGAACTGACGATCTTACTTGCAATATTACTGATAATGTTACTTGCAATATTACTGCCCTGTGCCATATTATGAATAATGCCCCATGCAGTATTCCAAATAGTGCTCATTGCAATATTACTGTCCCATACAATATTATGAATAATGCACCATGCAATATTACAAATAGTGCTCATTGCAATATTATTGTCCCATGCAATATTATGAATAATGCCCCATGCAGTATTCCAAATAGTGCTCATTGCAATATTACTGCCCCATGCAATATTATGAATAATGCTCTGTGCAGTATTACTGCCCAGTGCAATATTATGAATAATGGCCCATGCACTATTCCAAATAGTCCTCATTGCAATATTACTGGCCCATGCAATATTATGAATAGAGCTCATTGCAATATTACTACCCCATGCAATATTATGAATAATGCCCCGTGCGGTGCAGTATTACAAATAGTGTTCATTGCAATATTACTGCTCCATGCAATATTATGAATAATGCCCCGTGCAGTATTGCAAATAGTGTTCTTTTCAACATTTCTGACAGTGTAATATTATGAATAATACCCCGCCCCATGCAATATTATGAATAATACCCTGTGCAGTATGACAAATAGTGCTGGTTGCAACACTGCTCTACCAACATTAGTAATAATTCTACATGGAAACTATGTCATAATAAACTATTTCCACATAAGTCTCAAGCAGTGATTGAAGGTCAATTTATCCCAGAACCTTCCCATGGCAATTTCTTCTAGAATTGAATAAGCCAATCAGAGAGCTTGATTCAGTGATCACCCTTAAACTGATATTGTTCTCATCACATCAAGGTGACCCAGTTCATTAAAAAATGGCTTCAGGTTTATTTGTTTACTTTAATCCCACAGTATATATCTGAACTTTGTTTCTACTTCCTGGAGTTATTCATAATTTCGCTATTATTGTTTTAACCTAAACATATATTATTTTTCGGGTGTCGTTTAGTACATATTTTAATCTGTTGATTTGTATATACAATCTCCTTGGAAATGAGCTGCATGGATTAATAAATAATATATAATTGCTGTATAGAACGTTATTATTCAATCGGATTAAAATACAGAGCTATATTTTGTTTCGTTTTTTTTTTATACTTTCGATGGCCTATACTACATGAAGATCTGATCAGTTGTAGTGGAAAGTCGCGTCAGGGGTCATACAAGTGGCTTTTGACCCTATGACGTCAGACATTGATTAATCAATTAGCATTGACGTTTCTAGTGGTTTGCCTACAGTTCTGTGCACACACGCCAAGAATTCGCTGTAACAGACCGTTTCATTGGCTAATCCCTCGCTTCAACCAGAATGCGGGTTATATAACAACTCTTCCAGATCCTAGTGTAGTAAAGACAAGTAAAACGAAATTTTGAACTATAAAAAACGAAATGAAATAGGATCTGTGTTTTAATTAGATTGGTAATTAGGCCATTTCAGATTGTGAAATCTTAAATACAGGTACACATGTACTCGGGTTGTTGATCTTATTCAAGTGCCGATGTGTTATTTGCATTTTTGCTCATATTTTAAATTTTTCAATACTTAATACACGCTAAATATGTACTCAGATTGATAATTTAACATCTAATTAAAGATGCATTATGGGAGATAAGATAAAGAGATAGCAGTTCTCGCTATAATAGTTAAAAACTAGATAATGTAAAGGTAATTTGCTAAAAATTTCAGTCAAATTGATCCACTATGAGCCGAGAAAGAAGCGGGTGAAATTTTTGCATAGTCTCGGTCATCATTACTAAAATCATTAATATAAACAGCATAGTCTCGATTATCCACTTTTTCTGATTTAATTATCAACGGCCGTTAGCGGCATATAAGAATCTAATCCAGCCAACATCGAAGGCTAGCCTTGACATCGAGAGTTTATTACGGTCTGGATAAGTTAATTAATGTCTAATTGATAATTTAGATAACATTTCAGGCCTAAAGAAAGACTTGTAATAAGCAGATTTTGCTCTTGCATAATGCATGTTTAAGAAAACAAAATATCAATAAAAGATGGGGGCGGCGGCGTTATGCTTGATCAGCATAAAGCGATGAAATTCCAATTCCATATATCTTTGTATATACTGAATAGAATTGAACCATTTTTGTTCTGATATTCCTATTAGAGATTCATCTTTCACAATAGCGTAGTTTGCAAGTGATTCCTTAGAATTCTTAGAATTATGGGTACAATCTTGGGAGCCATGGTGGTTGAATAAGGTTCTGTCACACTCCCCAGAAGGTTCAGGGTTTGATCCTGCAACTCGGTGTTGACCAAAAATGTTTGACAAGTTTTCTAGCCTTGTTTCCTCCTGGTCATTTCATAGGTTCAGGGTTAAGATTAGGATTAGCGCTATGACGAAAAATTGAGCTGGCCTTATCATTTATCTCCGTTTCCTTAACCAATGAGATTTTTGGTCTCTTTATTCCTTTTGGTAGACATATTCATAGAAAAAACGGATGAACTGTTCACTTTCCCTACAAATCAACAAAAAATATATCTGGGTTACATATATACCTTTTCCGGTGTCTAGTCATTCAGATGGGAGAAAAAAAAACAAGTGCTGTTGGCGTGCATGTTAGGGAAACCTTGACAGTTGGAATTCAAAATACAAGTAGGCTGTAGAGCTGCTGCCTGGGCAAAATTCCCCTCATTGCTTACTGCATTAGCCCGGTTGGTGCAGGATGTTAAACCCCATTTCATTTCTTTGTTTCCTAAATCAAGGTTATTTTCTGTCACCCTTTTCCTTCAAAGAAATTGGTAGACATTTTCATAGAGGAATGCACGAAATGTCAATTTTCCTTGCATATCGACAAAAAATTACATTTGGCTTACATTTATTTTGTATAGTTTCTTGTCTTATTTGATTAACATTAACCTTTTGTCAGAGTGTTGCAATTCTTGACTCAAGTTCAAGCAGCATGATGTCTGTAATGTGGTGGATATTGATTATTATTGTCAACTGGTTTGTGTACTTCAACATACATGTAGGTAAAGCCTCATCGTTTCCGTTTTGTTTTTGATATCACCTTCATTTTCAATTCATAATGATTCTTTGGTTGTATGTGACAAGGAGTAGGGTCGCCTGTCTAACCTCGTGGGTTTTCTCCGGGTTCTCCGGTTTCCTCCCACTGCTAAAGATCTCTATGCGCAAGGGAATTATTGAAATAAAATTGAACCATGTGTTAATCCCAAAATGACCTAGTTGTGTCGAGTGGATGTTGAACTCCATCTGTCTCTCTCTATCTCTCTCTCTCTCTGTTCATAACTAAAAAAAATAGCTCATTATGTAAGAGCTAAATCTGCATATTATTGCACGTCTTTTTTTGGTTGAGCTTCAAATGTTATATAAATTACTTGGAGTCATGATGGCTCAATGAGTAAGACACCGACTCGGTAACCTGTAGGTCCTGTCTTTGATCCCGGTGTTGGATGAAAGATCAAGGCCTCATGTACACATTTGCGTGCACATAAAAAAAAAACATTAGTTGGAATTTGATTTAAGAGTAGGCCGGTGAGGAACACATTGGCTTTCTAACAGGAGGTTGCGTGTTCGCTCCTTGTAAAGTCGTTCAGATAGAAGGAAAAATAGAGTTCCTGTGTACACATTGGTTTGCATGTTAAAACCCTTGAATGCTGGTCAGGCAAAATTTCCCTCATTGCACACTACCCGTCTTCATTAGCCAATATCATTTCTTCTATAACAAAACATAACTTGTTCCTTACAGATACATTATGTAAGAGCTAAATCTTCCTAGCCTGGAGGTCGGGGGTTTCTGT